AACCCCTAGCTCCGCCCCTGACTATAACTCTATAATAATAAGGTTAGTTCTTGGTATAACTTTATTTACAATTTTTTGGCTTAAGATATTTTTAGTCCTTCAAATTATATCGTGTTTAGGTTTACATTTTTCTATAAAAAAACATCCTTTCGGTAATATATGCATCTTTCTACTTTTCATGTATAGTTTTGAAATCTATCTTAATATAAAAGCAAAAGAAAACTTCATGAGGAAGTTCCCGCCCAAAGATAGTAGCTTCTAGAATTATGATGTCACTTTTACAAGAATATAGTTTTTTAATTAATTTACAAACTGAAATTTCATAAAACATGACTCGGTAAACAGAATTCTAAGAGAAGATTTCTGATTGGCTATTTTGGTTGAGCAACGACTGATGTTTGGTTCCCCCATGAAAGCATTTAATGCAAGTCTGCTCTATGTTCACACTTTGTCGTACCTGTCCCTGTATATAAACAAATTGAACGTGGGTCACTGGGTCAGTTAGCCAGTGCACTCTTTATCTTTCAATTTCTATTCCATTGTGTCCAGCCTAACATCACCAAAAAATGCACACCTGGCATGTGGACTTTTATTAGAGATGTGAATTAAATCAAATGAAAGTAGGGACTAAAGGTTCGAGCTATCCCAGTGTTTAGTGTTCCATCTTCCGGGTATTTATCAATTGGGTACTTCTTAGTGTTAATATTTATTTTTCTAACCGTTCATTGTTTAGATAATTCTTTTAGGTTGTTTTCATATAGATAATTCCTTTTATTATGTTGTGTATTACATCTATTTTAAATGAGAAAAGGGTCAAATAAGACCTTCTACTATTATGAAATAGTCACATAAAACCATGTACTCAATAAAGTGTCATATAAGTACATCTACTTGTATAAAGCAATCAAATGAGTCCCAACGGCTTATTTAACACCTCCTAATCCCGATTTTAGCTTACATGTTGATTTTTTTGACTTGTATTTCAACCAATCTTAGTTAAATATTCGACATATGCCGTATAATGTATTTTAAAAAGATGGTCGGAAGTACGTTGAAACCGGGATTAAGAGGTGTTAAATAGGTCATTATGACTCATTTGATTGCTTTTTACAAGTAGAGGTACTTATATGACACTTTATTGAGTACATGGTCTTATGTGACTATTTCATAATAGTAGAAGGCCTTATTTGACCCTTTTCTCATTTTAAATTAAGTATTGCTGATATATACTCACGTTTTTGTAAGTATGGTTTAAATTGTTTTCAAATAAGACATGATTTTTCTTTAATTTCTTAAATCTGGGAATGTTTTCATATGGTATCGAGAATAATTTAGTTTTAAAATTATATAATACGGAGTACCTTTCAAATAACATATGGGCACTCATATGAGTTGAAGGGGTACTGATAATTAAAAGATGCATTGCTACTACTAGGTTGTTCAAATCTAGAATTATTTGTTGTTTCTATGAACATATAGTAGTATAACATCAGCAAGTATTCTAGGCATATTAATTCTGAATTCTGTATAGCACATTCCAAGAGCTATACCTCCAATAAAACAAGTTCAGCAAACTTTATTTTTTTATGATTTTTTAAACTGTTTCTGTCGGGTTGAAAAGTATAATAATAACAGAATTATGGAATTACTTATGTTTTGCTACATCCTTGAGTTCTCTTAAGATGACAGCTCCATCCTTGCTTTTTTAGCACTGCTACTAATTTTTTAAAGATGTTTCTCACTTTTACTTTAATCATTTTTAAAAATCAGGCATAAACCCTGATATGCTATAAACGGTAAAAACAAAACCTAATTTAAATTTCAGTTTTCTAAAAGTAGATTAAATTAAAAGTTACGATATAAAACTTAGAATAAAGATTTTAATGTGAGAGAGGCATGCATGCTAGATAAATATAAGTCTCGAATGTTTTATCAATACAAAATTAAAATCAAAGATTTGAAGAAGATATATATGACTCTCCAGAACGCTTTATAACAAGTTTCTTTTAAGAAATTTTATTTTTGAATATTCACAAAAATTCATTCAAACAAAGGCAAAAAGAGATGTATGGAATCTAGATCGAATTAGCTGATATATGAAATGAATAATAAATACAATATCTAGCAAAGACTTACCGATTTCATACGAGAATTCATGGTTTCGGTTTGACGGGATTGAATCGAGAGAGGAAGCTTGGCGGAAGATGAATCGGCTATCTCAGGAGCTAAAGCAATTGCGCCGTTCTAGATGCGAGAATGAGTGGCTATACCAGCTTGATGAATTTGGAACAACAAAAATGCATTGGGTTGGGCCGGTGGAGGTTTTCAAGCAGATGGATTATATTTTAGTATACCATCATAGTCCGTATATGTTATTGAGTCCATTAAGGATATGTGATAGACTATATTTCAATAGTGTTGGATTATTTTAAATGAGCTGTTAATGGACAAAAATGTTTTTTGTCGTGCATATGGACTAAGAATGTTTTTTAGCAGCTTTTAATTTAAAAGATAGCTAACGAAAAATATGTTGCCTAGTACTTTTAATTAGTTGGATGCACACTTCTTTATCTATTTGATTTTTATTTCTAAATAAATAATATGTCAAGCATTTTGAGTGATGTGTTTTTTGGACTACATATGAATATTACACTTCTTGGAGCTTTTTTATATATGATGAGTTTTTTTAATGGTCTCTCTATCAAATATAGAAAATTTGAGAGGTGAACATGGTGATGATCTTCATTTTGAATCTTCCATCAGCAAAATTGCATAGCCAATTCCATCAGCAGACTTTATTATTTTCAGTTATTACAAATGATATCATATCATTGTCTTTTATCTAAGTTAATTTTCCAAATATTTGAATTCTTTTTATTTCAAATTCATTTTTTTAATATATCTCAGTGTATTCTTAAGTTGTTTAATAGGTTTTTAGTATTACGTTTTAGAGTGAAAGAGAATTATTGAGATTTGAAGGTGGAAAATTCTTTTGAAGTTTAGAAGCAAATGTTGCTACTCGAAAAATTATGGGTTAGCCAATGTTAATTCAAGAGTTATCATTAATCGTGTCTGGCTTCGACTTCTTTAAAAGAAAATAATATTTCTCATGTCGGATTATTCTTGATGAAAGAGTGTCCAGTCATGGATAACTTTAATTTGCGGTTTCTGAGGTCACCAATGAGACAACAAATTTTGCTTGTAAAGATTTGTTTCAAATCTAAATTTTTATAGGTTATATTTTAAGTTTTGAAACTCTACAGCGTGTATTAATTACACATTTACATATTACAATTTGATTTATAATCCTTGATTTAAATATTTAAGTCGTACATCGAATGTGTGAGAATATTTCAAAATCTGTAGATTTTTGTACAATGTTATTTTAGGATATTAAACTTCCTAAATAGATATTTCAACGTTTTTATATCAATTTCATAGTATGTTATTTTAGGATATGAAACTTCCAAAATAGATGTTTTAGTGTTCCTATATATATTTCATTTTTTAGCTTTACATATTACTCTATGATCATAATATTTGGGTTAAATTTTTCAGCCGTGCATCGCACGGGTAAGAATACTAGTTTATCTAAAAACAATCACTTTACATGTGAGCAGGGGCATATACTTAATATATTTTTAAAATATAAAATAGAGTTTTTTTTTTCAAATTTGGAGTTAGAGAGTGTCTACTATATATAGCTAGAATTGTTTTTGGAGGCAGGATTGAATTTTTCAAATATTACTTAATTTGTCGCCGGTAGGAAGAGGAGGATATTAGAAATATGTAGGTTGAAGATGCATGGAAGATGGAGGCGGTTGAACAAGAGGTCATGAATGTGGAAAATGTTAGACTTTATATAATAATCTATAGGTATAACAAAGATGGAATTAATAATAAATCAAATTTGTGTTCATTTGAACTTAATACATACGGAGTACATAGAAAGAAATATCTTGTTTATGGCAATTATGGGGTACAAAATAAAGACACCTAAAAACTTAGGTGTGAAAATATGACTAGTAAGCAAAATAAAATGAAATACAACAATATAAATATCAACGGAAAATAATGTTTCAACAAGGCCACGTGTTGCGTTACCATAGTCTCGTCTCGCGTTATAACAATAATGCCTTTTCTTGTAGTCTCCTATACTTCGATGAAAATTTTAATATTCTATGTAATTTTTTTTACCAATATAAAGAATCATTTGAGCTAAAGTTGAGCGCTTTTGCCAGGCCTTATATATATATTTTCGAAACATAGTCTTGATCATTAATTATGTTTACTCCACGTCTTGTGATGGTAAAGTGCATTTTATTATTGTTTTGATATTTAAATGTTATAGGAGTATTTGTTAAGTAAAAGTTTTCTTGTCTATTAATTTTTATTTTTACTTGTTTTTATTTGTTGGTTTTATGCAGAAGGCATCAATTCTTTGTGAGGGAGTTCTTTGAAAACGCTAAGAAGCTGATTGATAAAAATGGCGAAGTCCATATAGCACAAAGGAGGATTAGAGTCTCCAAAGTGAATGGGAAATGATCCGAGCAGCTGATTTCAATGTTGATGATTGTCCCTATACCAGATTTGAATTTGTAACTCCATCTTCAAGCTACTAAATCAGTCGTCCACATGGAATTCTGATAACAAAGTGATATTCAAATTTTTTGTCCATAATACTCCATATGTTTGAAACTAAAAAACATAAAATAGAGAGTAAAATAATTATAAATTTGATCATAAAAAATGTAAAGCAGAAAGACAGCTAAGAAGTAGAATTTCACCAGGCCCTTAATTTTCACAGCATTAACAAAATTGAGAGAGGTTGACACAATCCATACATACAATGCAGATTTTTGTTTGGTCAAATTAAACAGTCTACTCTAATTGTGTCCAATTTATTCCTTAAACTATACAATCCAGTACAATCAAAGACAGCCTATAAACATCATTAACTGTCTCGATTAACTACTGTTACACTAACATCACTCATGACATGTAATATATGATAATGATACATGGTGTATAACTTGGGAGTAAGTCGTGGTTTGGTAGAAATGCTACAGCAATTCCTATTCCAGTTCAAATTCGTGCTTCATAAATGAGAATCAGACAAGAATGATGCTAGCAGAACATGATTAACAATAGAAGATATGTGCCAGTTGCAACTATGAAATACAATGAAGATTTACAAATACTAATTGATACATAAAGCCGAAGCCCCGCAATTGATCACTGGGAAGGCCTTAGCTTTGGGATCTTCAAATGATGTTGGCAATGGAGCCAAAGACAAGAAACTCTGGATAAAGTTGCCAACGCCAAACATTCAAAACCACAAAACCATACTGATATCATACCATATGTGATTTCTTGCAGCCACTAGCGATTGGTTGGGATCATATCCCTCAAAATCTGCATCGGTTATTACTAACACAGAGCTATCATTAAACACCAATAGATTTTTTGTAGGACCGATTACCGAATCCGGGGCTACTAGTGATAGAGAAGGTCAAGGAGTATGTGCTACCTGTCTAATTATATCAGATGATGATATAATTCCTGGACAGCCTATGTAATGCCCAAAAAGAATCATTAGATGCTAAACTATCAATGACTATTGATAGGTAACGGAAGAATCCAAGTAGAAAGTAGTAGTATATTAATGAAGATTTAGTGTGGGAATACAGAAAAAGTAACGATAGAAAAGGTTTGAGACTCTTCGAGTGGTCTCTCACTCCCAATATCCCAGTCCCGATCCCAAGTTCTGGCTGTTCTCATCTACTCACCACTCACCCTTATTTATTCTATTTCTAATGGGCCAGGCCACTTCTATTTAGTTGTAAGGCCTAAAACCCTATTATTGACCAATATTAAAATAACTTGATAAGACTCTAATTATTTGTAGTGTCCGGGTCTCTAACAACTATGCTCCTTAGATATGATACCCATACATTGTTTTTGTCAATACAAAAAATTGACAATGCCTTTTACTCCCTCGGTCAAACAGGTATTTGACAAAAACTACATAATAAATTTTTATTGAGAAACTATATAATAAATTTTTATGTAGTTTCTACATATTGAGGAAGTATGAAATTAAGAAACCACATAATAAATTTTTACATTTTGCTCGAAAATACTTCCTAGCAATAGGCATGATAGAGCTAGTTAGTTCTTTCATGTTGCACATAAGCTAGCATAAGCACTACTCTGTAGTCTGTTGCTATGTGTTTTCGCCTCTCTGTGGTTAAATATCTCATGGAGCCATGGAGGATTAAGTTGATATAAAAATTAGCTTTAATAAAGAAAGATGTGAATATCCTAATATGTCCTAAGCAGGGAAACACAGTTAAAGAGCTTCCAAATGTGCACAATTTGAGAAAGGACCAGACCAACATACGCCATAAAACAACGAAATGCAAAATAAATCATTTGTCAGGCAGTTGGCATACCCTCCAAATGTTCTGGTTGTATTAAGCACTTGGAATAGGCTTCTCTTCTTATTGTTTGTCCCCAAAAGGCTAGTGTGCATTGGCTCAATTATCTCCAGGTTCTGGACACTGATAACAAATAAAAAGTTTAGCATCCGGATGTAACAGTTTTCCAACACTTGCCACTACAAGTAGACGTACAATGGCTGATAAAGGATTTTAGTTGCAGGTGTGATGAGAGGGATCAATATTCTACATAAGTACAAAAGGAAAATTGTTATTAACAACTGTACCTGGTAGAATCAATATTCACGTGGTCAAATGATCCATTAAAAGTGACCTGGAACAAAAACAGACTAAACTGCTTAGTCTCACCCCCAACAGACATACAGAAGCAACATTGGTTTCAGTTTGATCTTGAAGTGCAGATTTATTATTATTTGGTATGTAAGAATTAGATATGCAAACAAATGTTTGATGTGTTCAAAGTATATCAAACATTATCTAAGTATACATGTATTGTCCCATTGGACTTTGCCAACTTACTTTCAAAGTTAGAGTAGCCTGCATTGATAGCCCAAGAAATAGCATGAAGAATAACCTCCAATTCGATCTGCCTCTAATACTGTCTTGGCTTTAAAGTGAATATGCAGTGCAAAGATTATCTGACCACAGATATTATGCATTATACAACCTCCAGTAGCATGTCAGTCTTTAAGGGACAATTCTGCATTGATTTTAAAATGATCAATGCGCTTATCTATTTAACCACAACTGGATTACTGGTTCATAATGTTTGAGGAATCAAGCACTCAATGAAAAAATATAAGTCAAAAGTCAAAACTGATTTGCTTTGAGTTTTTTACACCTGATGACCAAAGAAGCAGGAAATGCTTAATCTGATGAAAGATTTGGGAAGGAGTCAGCTGCCCAGAGTTATCATCTCAAATTAGGTGGGCATACTGCTTTCAAAAAAACATGCCACAACACCTGAACTAATATCTTTAAAGAGATCTAAAAGACTGGTTTTTCCAACCTCCACTCACCAAGAAATAATCAACTGCAAAGTAGAGCATCAAAAGGATGGTCTAGGAACAGAAAACAGTCCTATAAAAGAATACCAAATACTTTTTGGCAGCCACAGTTCAAGCGACAATGAGGGCATCTCAGTGGTCACAAAAAAGGTAAAATTTTAGTGAGACAGCGTCATTATAACAACTCATCTTCATAGTGGCACTCAAGAATTGGTTGAATTTCATGGTAGGAGGGCAGAGTCTCATTGTACGTAACCATGTGATGATACAAAACAATTATATCGTCGAGGTAAATAATACTAAAAAATTGGACTTACTAAGTTGAGAACATGTGTCTTGAATTTTCGGCACAGCAGAAACATCATGAAAACCGGTGAAGTTGTAGGAGGATGGCATAGCTCACCTCTCTCTGAGTCTCTGCCTATGCACTTGCACTTTCACAGTTCAGGCATATTTTGTTATACTTTTTGCAACAAATTGTTTCAAGTGATATTTGCATCACCCTATTTACTATTATTCCCAGTCAATATAATTATATTCATTGTGCAACTTTTCTTGAAGAGGTAAAATGTCCAACTTTGAATGACTAATCCCCATATAGCTAATATCAGAATACAACTAAACTTCGTGTAGAAACAAATGATATCATTAAGCATAGCAAGAATTACAAACACAGGAAAATCCCACCCCCTGGATTATATAAATACTATTCATGCTAAAGTCAATGAATGAGATAAATACTAGCAACTCTCCTAACGTGTAGTATAAGAATATTTAACAAACAACTAAACTAGTTTGCATAGCTGCTGCTAAAAATTGGTTCACTTGGAATAAAAAGTAAAAGATTAGCATACTGTGTCCCAAGTCCAATCCCCCTGAAAAACAAAAACAAAAATAACTTTCACAGCAAATTCCACAATAAGTTATGCATATAATTACTTCTAATGTGAAAGCCATACGACCTCAAAGTAGTTAACTTAATCGCACACATATATACCAGTCCGATACATCCCAACATAAATGTGCCTATAAGTTGATAAATTTTGTCAAACAAGATGGATGTATCGAAATGTACATGAACACTAATAGGTTTAGCTAACAGTAAGATAAATTAGAACTAATACTTTAACAATTTCCCTTTTTATTCAGTAGCATATGAAGCAGAGCAGAATCCGATCCTTTTTGCAAGATGGTCTTCAGTACAATCTCACAGGTGTTATTGTCAGGTGAGAGTCCAAGTCTTTGCATCTCTTCCAAAAGTAATACAGCTTCACCATACCCTTTCTCTTTCAGTATCCCACGAATCAATACATTGTAAACAACACTATTAGCCATATAACCATTTTTCTCCATTTTCTTGACCATATCTCTAGCATCTTCTAGAAAGCCTTTTCGGCAAAGTCCAATGATCATACTATTGTAAGTATACTTATCTGGCAGAAGTCCTTTAGAGGGAAGGGCATTAAATAGTTTTATTGCACTCCTTTCCTTCCCATCATTCCATAGTCCGTTGATAACAATATTGTAGCTTATTAAATTGGGGATAGGACTACCAACTTCCATCATCTGTAGTAAAGAAAGTGATTGAAGTACGCGATGATTCTTACAAAATCCATCTAGAAGAATGTTGTAGGTGGTGAGATCTGGATGTTCTCGATTTCCCACCATCTCCTTAAAAAGATTCTCAGCATCATCACATCTCCCATCGTGAAACAAACACATTAACATAGTGTTGTAGGTGACAACTGTGGGCTTTAAACCTTCACTTTGTAATTTTCCAAATAATTGTACGGCCTTATATGAACACCCGCTCTTGTAACATCCATTTATCAAAATGCTAAAAGTCCGAATATCAGGGTCACATCCCCTATCTATCATGGTCTGTAGGAGTTTGAATGCACTGCTCAGTTTTCCGCATGAGCAGTATTCATCCATCAAAGCATTATATGTGATTACATCAGGATCCACACCTTCTTGAATCATCCTATCTATGAGTTTTGCAGCTTTGGCAACCCATCCTTCCCTGCAAAACCCAACAACTAGAATGTTGTATGTATAGGTATCGAGAGGAACTCTATAGTCGATCATTGTTTTCAGTAACTCTTCGACCTCTCCCCATCGACTGAATTTGCAGAGCCCATCAATAAGTGAACAATATGTCACGATATTCGGAGGAATTCCCTTTTCCATCATCTTCTCTAGCAGGCGGAGAGCATCGTCCACCATTTTATCCTTACACAACGAGTCAATAACGGCGCTATATGCAAATATATCTGGCTTGCAGTTGCAGCTTCCCTTCTCGTCAAATAAGTGAAGCAGCTTAACAGCCTTTGCAGTGTGTCCTGCCTTGCAGAGGCCATCAATCAATATTGATAATGTAACTTCATTCACCTCACACACCTTCTCATTCAATACCTTCTGGAACAACCAAACCGCATCTTGAACCCTATGTTGCAGAAAAAATCCTTTCAGTAAGGTGCTGAACAAAATCACACCAGGTACCAGGCCCAACTTCAAATGGATTCCTAAAACAGCAAATGCCAAATCTACTTTGTGCAAACGGACAAGGGAATTGGCAGAAATGTTCAGTGTGCTCTCATTTATCAGAATGCCAGAAACAAAAATATTTCGAAATAGAGAGACAGCCTCGTGGTAACAACCCATCTTGACAACAGCAGTCAAGAGTTGGTTGAATTTCACGATGGGAGGAAGGGGTCTCATTGTAACCATGTGACGGTACAAACAAATTGCATCGTCAAGCTGAATAATACTTGCAAACTTGGATTTACTGAGTTGAGAGTATGAATCTTGAATATTTGGCACAGCAGCAACATCATGAAAACTACATGATAAATTAAAGAGGGGAAAGTGAGGGATAGGTAAATGGACGTTACCAGGTGAGAAACTGAGAATGATCTCCATGCCAGACTCTTCATGAAAAAGTGCCCGCGAACGCCATTCATCTTCTTCATGTTGAGAGGGGCACGCAGGTAGACTTTAACTGTTCCAAAATGTTGAGAGGGGTCTCTCCCTCTATGTCTGCATTTTGGTAGCACTAGTTAGCCGGACACGTAGAGAATGGTCGGACTTCTAATTTGGTCTCGTGTATCGTACCAAAACTTTGTTAGAGATAATTAGAGATAATTAATCTGGTATGGTCTGGTATGGCCTGAATTGATCTGGTCAGGTTTCTTTGTATTTTTATAACTATCCAAGTTTGGTCTGGTTTGAACTGGTTTGAACTGGTCTGGTCTGGTCTGAACTGGTCTGATCTGAGAGGAATTACAGCCCAAGTAAAAACATCCTTACTTCTAATTAAGTGTTACCTCTCTGTCCACAAAGGTGCCTACGAGGGAGTCCCTATATCTACATCGGGTGTACATATACCCGGCCCAACTAAGGAATACAATCCATTAATTACTACGGTTTAATTTTTTTTCGGAGACATTTTCGTAATGTAAGCTAAGAATTACGGCTTCCACTAAATGAGCATTAGTCTAGGGTGATACTATATTATGGGCATAACCTAAAGGTACCCCATTTCAAATCACTTGTATAATATATATATATATATATATATATATATATATATATATATATATATATATATATATATATATATATATACACACACACACACACACACACAATTCAAATAGCCGGCTCGTAAGCCCATTTGTATTTCAAAACAATTCCTTTTAAATAGCCCTTGGCCTATACTTGCAAATAGCAACTTCGAGAGGTTACATCACCCCTAGTCTAAACCCAATTCCATTGAAAGAGTTACACGTTTTATTCTTTGTACTCCTCACCTTAAATTTGTCCAGCAAGCCTTCCTATTGAAGCTCCATCGTTAAACCTTCGATCGGGAATGATCCGAAATGGACTTGGCTGGCAGAGGGCAAAAGCTGTCCGGCTTTTGCAAAAGCTGCCCGGCTTTCGGGCCCTACAACACAAAAACATGCAGCTCCTAGCAATGGCGGTTTCCGGCGATTTCGATTCCTATCGATTCCACAACTCTTCTAAGTTAAATACCAATACTTTATAAAATTTTTCTACACTTTTAAACGTGTAGAACATCCCCTAGAATCCATCATATGATTTCTATAAAATCATATATGAAACTATATAAACAGAAACTATACCAATACTTTATATCATTTTCTACACTATATGATTTCTATAAAACAATAACCAAGAGTTGTGTGATTCTTACTTCTAGGACTTGTTTTACCTTGGATTTCTCCTCTTCTTGGCCTTCTTCCTTCTTGGTTTTGTGAGGTGTGTATGGAGCTCTCAATGCTCCCCTCTCCCTTTGTATCTGACGCACCACACTTCTCAAATGAGGGGATAAGGAGAACCCTCTCCCTTATCTTCTATTTTTAGAAAGTTGGGCCAATTTAGTTGGGTTGAGTTCATGGGCTGCCTCTTTTAATTTACTCCGATCCAATGTATTATTTAGGCTTCTCTCCATTTTACTTGGACTCTATATCGTATGGGCTACCCTCAATTAAAGTGTAGGAGCCCCTAACCGTATCCTTGCTATTTTTAGTAGTTTGGGCTAGAATGCCACTTTGGTCACTCAATCTATCTTGGTCCGGCCCAAATGACTTTTAATCATTTATTTATATCATTTTAGGCTAGTAGACCTTAATAGGTCGATCCTAAAATGTATTGGATAGTCTTTTCCAATATTCCGGGCTCCAACCCCTTTACATTTCTATTATTAGTAAATGACTCGGATAGTCTCTCTTATTAATCCTTTACCTTTTATCCAGCCCACACATTCATATGTAACTCAAGTACCAAATTAAAGGCTCTTTTAGTAAAAAAAAAATTATGTTCATGGTTTCCAAAATCATTTTGAAGAAAACGCTTTTGAGGAACTTCAGAAGTTTATGGACTAAGGCTCTGAAACCATTTAATTGTCACGCCTCGGGCTGGCCGAACACGCTAACAACCGCCGAACAATCCGATTAAGGCAACCGCAATCTACCTCTCTAGAACCATGCAAGACGTACATGAATACCATTCACACAAGTACATACATAAACAATGATAAATAAAGCATTTCAAAATACGCAGCGGAAAACAAATACTTTTTAAAGTCAAAGGCCACGTAGGGCAAACATGAGCACGCAGGCTCCCAAATCATTTATAGTTTAAAATAGTTTCCATGAGCATCATTTTATTTATCTCAAAATAGAACTGGAAGAAGCACGAACCACGTCTTCTCTCCATAGATCACCCGAAGCAACGGGAACAGGAAGAAAGTTCTAGCTTCTACCTGAAAACTGTGAGGTGGCCTCCCCCGGGAACTCATTTGGGTTGAGTTCATGGGCTGCAACTTTTAACTTACTCCGACCCAATGTATTATTTAGGCTTCTCTCTATTTTACTTAGACTCTATATCGTAGAGGCTACCCTCAATTAAAGTGTAGGAAGCCCCTTAACTGTATCCTTGCTATTTTTAGTAGTTTGGGCTAGAATGCCACTTTGGTCACTCAATCTATCTTGGTCCGGCCCAAATGACTTTTAATCATTTATTTATATCATTTTAGGCTAGTAGACCTTAATTTGTGAATCCTAAAATGTATTGGATAGTCCTCTCCAATATTCCGGGCTCCAACCCCTTTACATTTCTATTATTAGTAAATGGCTTGAATAGTCTTTCGCATTAATCCTTTACCTTTTATCCGACCCACACATTCATATGTAACTTATTTCCTTATCCTTGGGATTTTAATTAATTTACCGTGGTCCAAGAATATACTAGTTAGTCCCTCCCTATATTTAGGGTCCGACATGCAATATAATTAATCGGTATTAATTTAATCAGTTAATCATTTCTTGTATGATTAAAATACTTGTAACTAGTTTTTAAAATGAATAAACATTCATGAACTCAACTAGTCATCCTCATTGAAATAGGTATTTGTACTTTCAATTAAATTTTAATATTAATGGATTAATTAATCCAAGTTCAAATTGGGAGCGGTGTCACACAAACTGTGTAAAGATTTACGTCCTTCCACTTTGCATGCGAAGTAATTATTTTACACCCTACCAAACACGCTCTTAGAATGGAGCTTCGATGGATTGATGGGCAATTGCAAAATGCAAACCGGAAACAAAGACATAGTGGAAGAAAGTTTAGAGGTATTTCAGACTATTGATTGTGAATGAATTAGTTTTTTGTCTTTTCATATGAGAAAATTGCTCCCAGTAGAACTCATTCATAGCAACTTGATAAAAACAGTACCTACTTAAGTTTCTCCTTTGCATATGACCTATCTAATTGTAACACCGTCCCCAAATATATTTACTTTTTAGTAAATCATGTAATAAATCTTGAATATTGATTTATGAATTTACGTGGTTGTAAATTTTTGGTTATTTCTTTCACATGAGTAGTGAACTGCACGTGGGGCCCACACCGGGAGCGGGGACCGTCCGGTAATCCCGTGACCACATATTATATTCATCTTGGTCTAGATAATATTTATATGGTGGTGGATATTTTTGTTGGGCCATAGAAAAGGCATAGGGTTGACCTGTCGGTTAAACGAGGCCAATTACCGGTATTGGTAATTTATCAGATGACAGCCCGGAATGGATTTCGGAGACTTATAAATTAAAGTTGAGGAATATATGTTTATTATAAAATTCATAATGAGTAAGATCACGTAATATATTTTATTTGACCCTATAAAATAAAATATATTTAAAACAGTCTGAAAAATACAACTTTCGGGACCGATTGTCCAAATCGGGGCACAAAGGGATGACCTCCCACATGAGTGGGGGCCACCCCACGTTTTTATGCTCAATTTTGACAAGGGGGGCTGCATTATGGGGTATGAGTGATTGAGATGGAGGGCACCTAAATTAAATGGAGATGGATCCCTTTTCTTTCACATATTGCTCAAAGAGACAAAAGAGAAGCCCACCCCCTCCTTTCCTCACCTAAACTTCGGCCAGAACCAAGGGGAGAGAGAGAGGAAGTTCTTCAACTTCATTCTCCATAGTCAAAGAAAGCTCAAACAACAAGAAACTCAAGGAAGAAAAGGAAGTAGCAAAAGTAGAGGAAAACTAGGAAAATAAAGGTGAGAAGTTCTTTAATAACTTTTCTTCCACCATTTGATTTCCATATGTATCCTATATCATATGGAGGAATCCAAAAATCATTCTACACATTTAGAAGTGTATAAGGAGGGGTTGGAAGGTAGTTCTAAGTCCAAGGGCGGACTTTGAAGCCAAACGACCGGTTCGCCGGAAAATAACCTTTTAGGGGTTATTTGTGTTGATATGGGTTTTGTGATGATAAAACCATGTTAGGAGCTTTACTAAAGTGTTTCTTGAGTTCGCCGGAGTTTCACCGGAGTGCGCCGGAGTTCCGCCGGAGTTCAACCAAGAAGAGTAGAACTTCTTAAAGCTCATTTGAGGTGAGTGGATGGCATAATGTCTTGTAACTTTTGGGTTAAGCATGAGATTACCTAAATATATGTTATGTGTGTTCATAATAATGTTTAAATGAATTAAACATGTGATTAGCCAATTAAAGTGATTAGGCTTGTATGAAGTGAACTATTGAAATATGCATGATTTGTGAAGTGAAAATGCTCATAAAAACATGTGTGATATGTTTAGAGATGAAATGTGCATAAAATAGTTATTATAACTTAGTACATATTGTGACTAAGTTTGACACACATTGGATTTGGAATGGCGGGTCAACCGAGAGTTGACCGGCATCGGTTTGGCCTTACTTTACCTTTATGCTAATTTAATGCATGAGTTGAATGGATGATTTTGTTTAGGCCTTAAGACTTGGTCTAGTCTTGTTTATTGATTATGATATATGCCCTATCTAGTATGATATGTGGTAGATCATAGGTCGGGTGGAGTACCCAAGGATCAGGCGATATCCTCAAAACTCGGTTATATAGGGTGGAGTACCCAAGGATCGGGCGGTATCCTCAAAACTCGGTTATATAGGGTGGAGTACCCAAGGATCGAGCGGTATCCTCAAAACTCGGTTATATAGGGTTGAGTACCCAAGGATCGGGCGGTATCCTCAAAACTCGGTT